CCGGAAGACAGACAGACAGACAGACAGACAGACAGACAGACAGACAGACAGACAGACAGACAGACAGACAGACAGACAGACAGACAGACAGACAGACAGACGTTGCCGTTTATATATAGTAGGATGATAGAGTATGATACTCAATATATGGTGCACCCTGCAACTCAATCAAGTACCAGCAGCTGGATTAATTCGAAGGTTGGTGAGACTCCCCCCCCCCAATGGATCGTATTTGACCATTGGGATGGTGGGTCGTAATAGGAGGGGCAGTCGTCACGAAGCAGCGCAAAGTTGTCAGTAGCGTGAAAAAAACCAAAATGATTAATCATCACTATAAGTTAGCTGACATAAGTTCGTGAGTACGTGGACGGCTGAACAGTACAACGAAAGCAAGTCCATAGGTAGGACACCGTTCCGAACCGTGTGAACACATCTGCTTGGGACAGACATTAGGTAGAAGTTGCGTCATCCCACTAGCTCTACGTGAGAGCCTAATGCATGGCGCATCTAGAGATGAACCAAGTGGACGCTAAGCAATTCATTGCCTAGTTCTGTTCTGCGACGTGATCCGTTCTAGATGCACAACTTGGGTGTTCACGTACGCTCACTTGAAATGGTGCACAGAAAGCGGGTTTTTCGCGCTTCTCGGAATTTTCCCCCAATGAATTCCCTACGCATTTATCTCAGAAGCCCCGGAAACTTCATGAGATATCAAGCGATCCTTGGAAAAAGAGGAGTTTTCTTTTTTTCAAGGCTGTTCGTACGTTTGCGAACAGTTACGTTGGATGAAATTTTCGTTGAAACCAAAAAAACTCATATCTTGTCTCAAAAATCTGCGGAGAAACCCCAGGAGTCGAATATATCTCTGAAACAAATAACCACTGTAAACATTCTAGTACTTTTCGAGAAGCGCAAATCTAACAAAAGCGTTTCCTTGAATACAAAGGTGTACCCTTTAGGTATTATTGTAAGGCCGAGCAAGGTTCTACTAGACGAATTGCGAATCTGTGTCGGTATCACACGTTTGAGAAAGAAATAATTTACTGTCAACCAATAACCAACAACGGCAAACACAACAAGAAAGATCGTATAAGGAAGTCTTGAGTCGAGGAGGTGGATGCGAGGTGTAGGTCAGATGCCACTGAAGCGCACGGCTCGCGTCAAACGTCCGGTCCGAAAAGGGATGGTTCCTGGAATGATCCTCGGGGAGCTGGGGGTCTTCTGTGTTACCCCGCGGCCCTTCTTCCCCGTCAGGTCTGTCCCCCCCAAGGCACGAATCCCGCCACAAAGGCTTCAGCCACTTAGG